GCTAAGATCGAGAAATTAAATATGAATAAGATATGCTTAAAGCAAATGCATCATAAGGGAAAAGCCAACAGAAGCACAGACCACAAGGTAACCATTCACAAGAAACTAAGCTACCAAACCTTGCTGCTGCATCTGATGATGAGCATACAACATTGATTGCTCCAATCCTCTCTGCATAAAGGCCAAGATTTTTGCTGTACGATTGAGCAACCAGAAGCTCCATACCATGTGCAGCAAACAGCCTCACAGATGCTGCATCTTCATCAAGGCTTCCACTAGCAAATCCCTTGAGAATACCAAAGAGTTCATGTTTACATTTCTGATCAATTTTCTTAGTTTTTTGGAATAAAATAATTCTAAAATAATTCAGGGTTCAAGGAACCAGTACCTGGTATGCAACGTCAAAAAATGGAATATGGCTCTTCTCTTGAATGACATCAGCAATTTTTTTCCATTGATCAGGGGTTGGGTCAATTCCAGTTGGGTTGTGAGCACATCCATGAAGCAAAATGAAAGATCCTTCAGGAGCTGCCTGTAAAAGTGCAAAAACAAATCAAAAAAATTAAGGAGCCAGAACTGAGAAGTAACAAAAATAAGAATGTGCATATTAAATAAAATCTGAAACCAGTAAAGATGGTGGAGTAAAGGGGAAATATGGTAGATATCAACTGTAGAAGTTACAATGTGCTCCAAGAAACACCAACATGGTTTGAGTATGTGCCCAACCCTCCACAGTCCCAAATAAAATAAGAAAAGAGTGATAGAGGAGATACATATATGACAAGTTACAAATGGTTCATTATGTTAATCTTTTGCCACTTTTTTTTAGCATATAGCATTAGATAACATACAATGTTAAGAAAATGTCAAAAAAGGTATTTTAGGTGAAGGGATAACCTTTATGTCAGATATCATCCCCTCAAAATCCAAACCAACTGTTTTTGGATCGTAGTACCGGTACTCAGACCATGGGACTCGAGCATCATTAAAAATGTTCTTATGGTTACCTGTAAGTCATTTTGCTAAATCTTACAATAATGTCACTAAGAAAAATCTCATAAACAAGATCACGACAGAGATGGACATACCCCATGTTGGAGATGATATCAGAACTTTTGCCCCTGGAAAATATCGCTCGATAAGAGCTGCAGCTAGTCGAAGCGAACCAGTTCCTGAAAGACTTTGAACTGTTGCAACCTGGTTAAGAGAAACTCAATAGATTAATAAGCAACAAAAAGGATCATTGCTTCCAATAAGGCCCTGATACTATTTACCATTAAGCTGTTCTCTTCTACAACATAGAATTAAATTCAACGTACTCTTTGTTGCTTAATAACTGGGTTGTCTGCTCCAAATAATAACTCTGCTGTCACCTTATTGAATGCAACCAATCCTTCAATTGGAAGATACTGCAAAGTTAATTAAGCGTCTGTTAGCACATGCAACATCAAATAAGAATAACTACCACTATCCACAAACTTGAACATATAGATTTACCTCCTTGTTTTCCCCTCTTTCCAGCATAAGATTCTCCGCCTGCAAATTAGAAGTTTTAGAATAACCAATAATCAATCACTTAATATTCATGGAACTGACTACAGGGTCACAGCATGAAAAAAAAAAGTCAAATCAAATTCACATGGTTAAGGAATTCGCAGTGAATTTTCATTCACAAATTGTTCATTGATGGATACAAGAAAGAATTCCAACCTTCCTAACAACATTAAGCACGTAAGGCTGTAGTTCTTCAGTTCTATAGGCCCCAACTCCAAGGTTGAGCTTCATTTCATGTGTATCTGCTCTAAAGGCTTCTGAAACTCCGAGAATGGGGTCAGGAGGAGCCATTGTTATGCCCTCAAAACGAGAAACATTGACAGCAACGGTCATAGATATCCGACCAAGAGACTGCAACTAACAATGTCTACATATCAGTTCTGGAAGTGAAAGATATAAAGCTAGAAACTAACGGGCCGAATTAAACCTGAATCCTTTTAGAAACTAGATGCATGCATAAGCCAACACTGGGAAAGAAACGATAAATCTTGTGAAAAGAACGAACGAAAATGAAAATGAAATTTAGAAACCATACGCATGGATAATCCAGAGCGAGACAAAAAAGTTGGTTAAATATTAGAAAAAGAAAGGTAAAAATAATTAAATGAAATTTACTTATTAATTTGATCTAACTACTAAGAAGTGTGTGTTTATGAAGGTGTGACTCACTTCAGATATCTTCAACACCTTATCAGATAATCTGCATGCAGTTGTCCATAACAATCGTGGAACTGTGAATCATAATAATAATAATAAATAAGGATGGAAGCTGTATGATGATCGTACCTTGTTCTTTAAGAAGGGATTACATTTATCCTTGTCCAAGCAAGGAATGAAACTGGCACTTCCAAGATTTAATTTTCCCTGTTTAAAAAAAAAAAAAAGACGCGAAATGTTTTCTTATAAACACAAACTTAAATGCCGAGAAAGAAAAGAGGAAAAAACATTCATGTGGCGTCTTAAAAGCGTTGTCCTGCTCAGCTGAGCCCAAGACAGCCGAAATCAACCCTGCTTACGATGTTTATATATCCGGATCTCAAGAGCAAAAAACTGCACCCAGACATCACTCTAATTTGTTCTAATTTCCATGCATTTTCTTGGCAACCAACAGTACGAGAAGGAACGGTATACTTGAGAAACATACGCAACAAAAATAAATATGAATAAAATCAACAGAGGAATAAGGCATACCTTGTTGATTTCACGCAGTGATAACGAAGATGAAGGAGAAGAAGAAGCTAGAGATAACATTGTCGAAGCCATCTAAAACAAATAAAATTGATCACTGATCCAGAAACCAGAAATAGGTAACTGATTTCTGAAAAGCTTGAATTGAAATCGAGAATTAAAAATGAAAAAGGCGACCTAAACGCGATAGCAGCGGATTTACTAAGAGGACAGTATAGATTTCACCGGAAATTTTTGTTAACAAATACAAAACTTACCAGTCTGATAGAGAGAGAGAGAGAGAGAGAGAGAGAGAGAGAGAGATGGCAGGCGACAAATACAAAGTGAAAGCCTCAACCGAGCTGCGATGTCGAGAAAGATTTTTAAGGCGAGTGTGGAGAGAGCAATTTGGCAATGGAGCTGAATCAGCCATCAGGAATACAGCGAGGACCGTAATTAATGTGTTCGGTCATGGGTAAAATTGTCACTACGTCGTGGTAATGAAATCCTTTGAGACTGGCGCCAAGCCAACTAATTGAATTTTTTTTAACATTTTATTTTTTAAACATGAGTTTATCAGAAATAAATCATATAATTAAATGATAAGAAAAGAATATATATCTAATTAAATATTAGTACAGAGCTATCATTCAATATTAATTATCTAAAATGGTTAATTAAGTTGTATATTTAGCTTTATACATTTCAAATAATTTTTTACTCAAATCATTAATATATAAGATACATATTTCTTAAATTTTTAGGAATATAAATTTAATTAAAATATAGTAAAAAATAATACCGTAAAAAATTATTTCTGTCTAAACAAATCCCAGAATAATAATTCAAGGCTGAGCAAGAAAGGAGTGACATCATGCCAACACTAAAAGCGGCATAACAGAGATGAGAACCTGAGGCTGTGAACTACCCGTTTCAAGAGCACATCATTTTCATCGAATCACGATTCATACTTAAAACTACCTCTCAACACTTAAATTATGCGTAACGTGGTCTACTCACAACCATAAAATTAAACATATATATATATATAAAAATAATAATGACAGATACAACAGGGGGGTTCCTTCTCCCAGAATGATCAGCTAGATTTCAAAAGAATTAAAAACACCACAACAAAAGTCATGATTAAGCCAAAATCACGGATTCAACAAGGCCACAAATGTATATAAATATTAATACCCAAAACAACTAAAAGCATTACCCATAGATTAAAATCCCAAATGGTTATATCATACCCTTCATAATAAAGTCTCTAACTACCGCTGCAACCCACTACAGCATTACTAAACATATCACGCAATTGCTTTGTAAAACCACAAATCTTACAATTCTCTATCAAATTCATACTACTCTAGACAAAGTACAATAACCTCGCATTTTAACCATCCATCAAATAAGTAAAGAAATGGTTGCCGTATTGACCCTATCCTATGATGATAATTAATTCTAAGAAAGGGGGCCAATGGATGCTTCTAATTTTTGGTTTCTGAATAACCAAGAAGATATCAACTGAATTAAAACCAGTGTCCCAGCAGCTCTCTGGGTACTCCTCTGGAAAAGATTATCCGAATGGACGGAAGGAGGATATTCTTGGGGCAATACAGTTTTGAAGGCAAATTCCTTACGGAGCAGAGCACATTTAAATGGTATAGCAAAATAATTTGACACCCAAACTGACATTCACACATGAGCATATGGACAAGAACATGTTGTATAAACTGAACCTTACAATCCATGTGGAAAAGAAACAAAACAGACTTGTCTCTTTTAGAAACTTATCTCTTAATAATCAAATGAAAGGCTAATATATACATTAATACATATACATATATACATATATACAAAATGTATGTTCAAAGATTAACCATAAAATCCACAGGAAAAAATAAATTGTAATCTGCATTTTCAAATTACTCCAAAAAGCTCAAACATGAAAATGCCGACTTTCAAAGTGTCCCTTACAATTGGCCTCTGAAGTAAATAATAAAAAGAATATCAATCATTTTTAAAAAGTAAACCTAGAAAACTATTTCAATAAATAATAAAAGCTTAAAAACCACAAAGCGCGCATAATTATGACCTAACACCTCTCAGAAGCCGAGCTTGGTGCGGCGCCAGTGTCTGCGCTTGGCGTTGTACCTGGAACAGACAGAAAAAAACAATCAAATTAAAGACATAGAGATTCAAAATAAGAAAAACAACATAGTGAGAAGCGTACAAAAATGGTTCCATACAAATCGAGAAAGTACCTGATAGTGTTGTCAGTACGCATGCGGAACCAGGGAGGGATTGGCCTATTCTGCCTCATCTTCTTCGCGAGCTTCTTCTTTATCATGAACGTCTTGTGTGACGGCTGTTCATTTTAAGTCGAAAAAAAAGGAACAAAATTAGCTTCTAATTTCATTGACATCCATCGAGTAATCCCATAATACAGTGACGAAGCGAGAAAGATAAAAAGTTAGAGACTAGACACGCACCATTTTCCCCGGAGTCGTGCGATCGGCCTCTGTTGTCTGAAAGATGGAGAAGCTGCTCGAGTGAAAAACCCTAAATCGGTTAAATTAGGGTTCTTATAGGAGGAGGTTGAGTCGGCTAGTTTTTTTTAAGCCTGTACCTGGGCTTAGTTATTAGCCTCTTGAGTTTACCAGCACTTGGATCGCAAAGCGTCGCCGTTTCACATCTATGTCTAACTCTGCTTTTGGGGATTTGGGCTGTTGGTCAAGCGGTTTAAGTCCTCTAACGACGATAGATTTGGGCTTCAAAAAATTGTTGATCCACAACGATGCCGTTTTTACATTTTACTTTTGTGATATTTTCAAAAAAAAAAAAAATTGTAAATTACTGATTTATTTCTTATAAATAAATAAATTTCATTTGTAAGTGTTCTCACAGTTTAATAAATATGATTTAATTTTTTATTATTTTATATAAAATTCTGCCTTTCTGTCTTAATTAAACAATTTTTAAAACATTAAAAAAAATCTATTATCTAATATGAAGAAATAAGTCTGAGAACTCATTTACCCTAAATTTAATTCAATTTACAAATATAATTAACATTTCAAAATTATTTTAGGATCAAACAAAACCATTGGGGTGTTTACATCGAGAACAGATTCACAAAAGCCAATAATTTTCTATTTTATCATTCTCATATCAACTTGGGTGAATCAAGACTATATTACATTTCTCTTGGACAATCTTGAACTATATATATCATTGTCCTCAAGACATGGTATCACATACAGGCTGTGCAGGTTGTGTGACTCTAAGTGTTCCTCCGAGCTCTAGAGGAACGAGAGGTACTAGAGAGTGCAAAACATCCATGATGAGAGGGCGGTAGCTTGGTTCCGGCTGCACACAAAGAACTGCTACTGCTGCAACCTGCATTATCAATGATTCATTGCCCAAACATCCAACACAACAAACATAATATCATTGCCCAAGTAATCTTTCCAATCATATCGAGTTTTCGCGAATGTTTGGATTGAGGTAAATGAGAGATAAAACTAGGATTGACCTGAAAAAGTTAAAAAAGTACCTGGTATAAATGCTTGAGATCCATTGTATCTCTTATGACAGGATCAACGATGTTTGGAAGTTTGGATCTGTCAGTAAGCTGAGGCATGGCCTGCAACATTCATAAAATATTCACATTACAGAGTTATATACAACTCAATTATATATATATATATATTTCCAGAATTGGATATTTTAAAATAAAAGAAAACGGTTTAAGCATAATAAATTAGATTGGAGTATAAGAAGAAAGCATACCCATGTGACTATAGATTGGCAGTGAGCCGGTGCCAGTTTCTCCACCGGTCTTCTTCCCAGTAGAAGTTCCAGAAGCACCACTCCAAATGCATATACATCACTCTTATCCGTCAACTTCCCTAAAACGACGCCGAAAAGAACAGTAAATTTAAATTTTTTATTTAAAAAAAGAAAACAGTAAGCCCTATTTGATTTTTTTTTTTTTTTTGTGATTTTTATATAATTGCATGGTTTGTAAAGCACATGTAAACAATTTTACATAATTGATATTTAAAAGACACACAGGACTGAAACTGTACGACTATTTAAAAAGAATGCTCTCAGGGGGGAATAAAATAATTAGGCCATATGCAAATAAAATGGCAGTACACGTGCAAGCACCTATCAAGATCACCCAAGCCAACAACACTATCAAACAAATAAATCTTTAGAAAAAAAAGAATAGATCAAATTTCTAAACCGTTCTGACTATTCAAATTAAGAAAATTTAACTATCACGTAATGTTTTTTCGCTCATGAACTTAAATAAACTCGCTTAAACTTAATCTAATTTGGTTGGTCTCTACAAATCCAACACACTATTAAGTTAAGTTCTCGGTAAAAAAAAATTATTTTCTAATATGAACTCATATGTTTTAATAATTAAGTATAATTTATATACTTATAATAACATGATGTTAACAAGAACATATGAAATCTACACTCATATTCACATTCTCATAAAGAAGAGGAAAAATGCATACTCTTCAACCAACGGGTTTTGACCCAGAAGTTATTCAATTTCTAATACAATGTCGATAAGAAATACGAAATCTAGAACCTAAACTGAAATCCACACAGGAAAATATCAACTCTTCAACCATCGAATTTTGACCCTGCAATTATTCGAGTCTAGTTCCTAATAAGATCTAAGTTTTGACTTTTACCTAAACAAATTAATATATATATTACGTCCTACTCTAAAGGAAAAATAACAACTCTTCAATCAATATATAATATCACATTAAAAGAAGAAAGGAATTGTAACAACCAGTCAGGACAAACTGAAAACTATACAAAAAAAAAAAACAATCTTGCCACCATACCATCTAAAAGATACTCTGGAGCTACATAACCGAGTGTGCCTGAAAGCTTAAGGTTATTATTGTTCTGAGAACCATCAGTGACAGCAAGACCAAAATCTGAAAGCTGAATTTAAAAAAATAATAATAATATTTGGTGAGAAGGGAAAGCTATATTAATAATTTGCAAGTAGAAATATTTAATCTTTACAAATAAAAAATTTAAACAAAGAATAATTTAGGTTTATAGACAATTTTACCTTCGCGTTGAAGTTAGAATCCAAAAGTATATTAGATGATTTCAGATCTCTATGGATGACTGGTGGGTTACAGTGCTCGTGCAGATATTCTAATCCTCTGATAGTCAACAAGAACTTTATTAATATTTCGAAAGCAAAAAAGTACTAAAAAAGAATTCAATCTCAACAAAGAAGGCATCACCTTGCAGTGTCAAGAGCAATTTTCATGCGCATTGGCCATGTTAATGCAGATCCATTCGAAGGTCCTAAAACGTCATTAGCAAAAATCAAGAAGAAAAGTTTAGCAATTTTATATGTTGTGTTACAGGAGCTAACAACGGAAGTCAGTAAATGTAATTGACTTATTTTAAATCTTTATTAAAAGGTTATGATAGGTGAATTTACTATGAATATATAGAAAGAGATAATTTACCATGCAATTGAGTTTCCAATGAACCATTTTGCATCAACTCATACACAATGAATCTTGACTCTCCATTAGAACTATAACCAAGGAGTGAAATTATATTGGGATGTTGAATCTTACCCAACAAGTCCACCTCATTCTGCAAATCCAAACCAAAATCAAAGTAAGAAATCAAGAGCGAGGGCATGTTTGGAATTAATCTAAGAACTCTGTAAAGTTTATTTCCAAATTAACACTTAATTCAACTCTAAAATAGTAAAAATGCTTAGTAAAATGATGAAAACTAGCTCATATAAATCCATCCAAAATGCTACCAACATCCCATATGTACTTCATGTGAAGTCAGTTTTATTATCTTCTTCTTCCGATAAAGTTCGTTTTTTTTATGCTTGAATTAAGAATTGTAACTAGATTTCAAAGAATTATCCGAATTTGCTATTAATATGAGCTCAGATTTTACTATATCAAACACAAAAATTCCCCAAAAACAAAGACTATACCTGGAATTCTTTCTCGGCGTCCTGGCTGCTGCACTCCAGCTTTTTAACAGCAGCTAGAATGTTATTATCCAGCCGAGTCTTGTAAACACATCCAAATCCACCCTGACCCAGAATATTACTCTCCTTGAAATTGTTGGTTCCTTTTTCTAGTGTCCTAAAATCAATAAATGGAACAAATCCCTTCTTAAGGGACATTCTTGCTGAGGTCCTAGTTGAGCTGAATCTGCTCAAAAATGGAGCTAATGAGACTCCATTCTCGGCATCTTCAAAGTTTCAAACCCCATGAAACAGAACAAATCAAAAACAGGTTATCTCAGCCAACATACAGGAACCAAACAAGCAAATTTCAGTATGAGCAAACAAATTAAGGAGCTGAGCAGAAATGAAGTACCTGAGTTCTTAACATTGTTTCCCTTTGGCTTGTGGGAGAACTTCCTCTGATAAATGTACAGACATAAAGAACATAAAATGATGCCAGCCATGGAAACACAAGCAGCAATGAGTGCAATGAGTAGTTTCTTATGGATAAGCATTTTGTTGTGGTCTTTAGTTTCACCTCCTTCCTGTTGAATTCCTGATTACATGACGGATTTATAGCATTAGGCCTCAACAGATTTGCAAAGATTTTCTCAAAGAAAACAGTGAGATTTCTTCAGGCCTTGGTTTGGAAATCTGATAAAAATCAGGCTAATGGCATGCAGAGAAGGATAAAGATGAAGAATAATCCAACATTTTCAGTCATTAATGGAGGCAACTATCAATCGGGTTCACAGATATGATAATGGAAAGAGAATATAAAACAGAATTTACTCTGCATTAATATCATTAAATGCCCAAAATCAGGGTTGATTTTTGGATTTTCAAACGGTGAAAACTCGATTTCCATATTCAAATTTTGAAATCAAGACTAAAACACCCACCAAAACCCACAGTTACCCACTTCTAAAATTTTGAATCAACCATAACCCAGATAGCAAAAAATGGAAGACGGAACACAGACTGGAAGTACAGCTACAAAGCAGACTACCTGGAGAAAACGCTGCCACGGAAGCAGAAACAGGGGAGATAGTGTCATCAGTCCAGTGAACAAGACCATCTGGTGCAGCAGCAAAAACCCATAAAGGATTACGAAGAGAAACAAGCAGAACAAGAATCGGAAGAACAATATCCTTCATCCCTTGTCTATTTTCCATTCTTCAAGAACACATTAAGATTTGTAAATTTCTTTTTAATCCCTTGCTAGCTGCAAATGGGTTCAAATCGAAAACAAAAATGGGGACAAAGAAATAGAATTTGAGGAACAGTTTTTGGATCTTCCAGACTCACTCCGCCATTTTTTTGAATCTATTTTTATCGTTGCTTGTCTTTTTGAACTGTCTTTTTCGCTCTCTCTGCAAAAAATAAAGAGTAAAAGGAGACAAAAAACGATGCAGAGGAAAGTAATTTATGAAGGAGACGAGGCAAAGTGCACGACAATCATGTGGGCAGGTAGCAAAGGAGAAGAATTTTTTTGCTTTTTTAATCCAGAAAAAAAAAAAAAAAAAAAAAAAAAAAAAGGTGTTTACTTTTTAATTTTTTCTGTGGTGGTTTTTTGCTTGCATTGAAAATGGAAATAGGCAATTCATGCACAGGGAAGAAGAGCTGACAGCAACCAGAGGAACAGTGGACCAGCAAGGAGGAAGACGGTTTTCGGCAATAATTTTAGTTTTGAGTAACTTTTTTTTCAGACGAAATAAGTTCTTTACCATAATTGTAGTCTTAGGAAAAGTTATAAAAGTTTTTATTTTTTATTAAATATTTAAATTTAAAATTCCAAAATTTAATTTCCTCAAATAAATAATTTTAATTTTTTTTATAATTATTTTTATTTATTAAAAATTCATAACATAAAATATTTTTAACCCAAACATTAAGTAAATTCTTACTTTTCTAATTCACGGTCAAATGGCATGTAACTATTATTTTCAATAAAATAATTTTAGATAGCCAAAAAAATTAGCCTTTGAATTCTTATACTTTATTAGACGATGGTAATATACTTTTTAATAATTATAATTTAGATCTAATGTTTTTGCAGTGAATTGGTACGTCAATAGTAATGCTAATGAGAAGAAGCCAACCTCCTTGTTATTCACATCCCACCTTTTTGCTCATTCAACATATATAAATTATTTAAAGTGGTGAATATTTATGTAATCTATTTTTTGTAATTTCTAATAACTTATATTAAAATTTTGTAATAAATATTTAGATAATAAACTTTATACAATAAACATCGAGGTAGACACACACACACACACAAAAAAAATAAAAAGTAAATTTAAAAGTCTACTTATTATAAAAGAAACCGTACATTATGAATTGTAATATTATTTTTTTTAATATTATTTTCTTACATATTTATTATAAAACTCATTGAAACTTAACCAAATTCATTCATTATAATTCAATTAATAAATTAATTATTTATAAAATAATAAATTTTAAATTTTATATAAAATTTAGATTCATAATATTAAAATAAATTATAAAAAATTTAATCACTGAATTAATATATTATTTATTAAAATTGCAGCCAATCAAGATTCTGTATAAAATGAAATTTTAAATTATTTAAGACCAAAGAAACAAAGTGACAGTTGTAAATGGGATATATTTTGAGATCACGTTGGTCATAAATAGGTGGAAAGTGATTCATATTGGTAATTCTTCACCCGAAGTTTTCATTGGGGGAAAAAAAAGTCATTTTTTTTTTCCAAATGTGAATAATTAGAATTTTAAATAATTGAAAATTCACTTCAAATAAATAAATTAATATTTATTATTTACACGTAAAAATTATAATATAATATGATTGATCAAAATTATATTATACCCATATATATAATTAACGTTAAAATATAATAATGTCTTATATGTGAGTGTATAGTGATACATTGCATGGATTGAGTATTTGGATAAAATCTTACCAACCAGTTACAAAGAGATCGAAGCTCATGATGTGGTCTCACATACAATTAACGCATTGTCTATGAATAATTGAAGACAAATTAATCAAAGACTCGTGGCTTATTATTCCTTAACATTATTAATTAATTAAATTGTATTTAAGACATCATGTCGCCTAAGTAAGTTACATAATATTTTTATAATTTTATATAATTGCTACAAAAATTATTTTAAAATATTTGTAAATTAAGTAAAATTGCTCCAGTTTTCTGAGTTAATCGCATTGAATTAGATTTTTTTAAAATGCTATCTTTTATCAATTATTTTATAATAAAAAATAATAATTTATAATAAGTTTTTTTAATAAATACAAATAAATAAATAATAAAATTGGACTTGGTTCACGTGTTAGGTAAATAATGGATTTGAAAACCAAAGGCCATCCAAACAGGCCACAGCTGTGAGGTCAAACACATGACACCAGCCATTTGCATATATATATATATATATACACATATTTTTCCATTTATTTTATAAAAAAAAAAAAAGTTTATTTATGTTCACAATATTTTCCACGTCACCTCTTGACGACTACGCAAATAATCGTTGACGAATGCAAACCCATTTGATGAAAATTGAATGGACCCCACATGGGATCACCATCAATATGATCAACAGGTGGGTAGAGTGTCACTATCTGAATCATTTACTTAATGGGATTTCACTGAATTAAATTAATTAATAATTTGTAATTTATTTAAAAATTATGAATTTAAAATTAATTATTTTATTAACATACTATAAATTAGTGACGATTGATCTATAAATTCAAAAAAAAATTAATTTTTGAACCAAATCCTTATAATAAGAAGAGTTAGTTCTTTAGCGAAATTCTATGAAAAAAAAATAAAAATTCAATGGCAGATCTATAATGTTTGACTAAATAATAATAAAAATTTAACTCATTAAAATTAGATTAAATATTAATGAATCTTTTGTGGGTAAAGATAATATTTTATAATGATCAAGTTTGTTAGTTGAATAGTTATAGTAACTACAATTCCACCAATTTTTTTATTTTATTTTTCAGAAAAAATTAAAAATTAATTAAGGATAAATAATAATTGTTTTGTTTAATTGTAAGTATAATTTTTTAGTAGCTTACTAGTTTATAATTTATTTATTTTTAATAATTTTATATCAAATTAATAGTTTAAATAACTAATTTCTACTTTAATGTATGAATAATTATTGGATTCTAAATTTTTATTATAAGTTCATTGACAAAATTATTAAATTATCTTAAAATATAAATTTTTAATGTTTATCATACAAAAATCATGAATTTAAAATAATTTTATAAGTTAAATGACTATATTGTATGAAAATAAAGATAAATAAGATTTATTTTAACATGAAAAACATTTTAAATAGTAAAATAACTATTTGTCATTTTGGTCTAAAAAATTTAGTTGTCAAATTAAATGAAAATTAAATCATATACATTAAGATTAAAAAATTGTTGAAATGACCAAAATTTATTGTGATCCCTTTAAGATATAATTGAATATTGGAACTCAGCTTATAAATTAAGATTTTACTTACTTAAATTTACATGATTTTTGATCTTGTTACTTCCCTAGTTGTTGCTTAATTTAGCAAATACATTGGTTTAATATTTACTTTTTCACATATTTGTTCGTTAAAAAATGCTAAGGTCGTTTAATTATATATAGAATAAAATAATTCACAACATGATCTACAAAATTATTCATCTATAAGAGTGAATATTATATGGTTTGAACTGAAAAACAAGACTGGACTTGCAAGTTTAAATCGAAAATTTTAATATGATTTGGTTCAAATAAATTAATATTTTTTAATATTAAAATTTAAATAAATAAATATTAAAAATATTATAATATTTTCGAATCAAACTAGAAATCCCCCGCTGCGATCGAATAAGAATAGATAAGAGGCTGGTGGGATTGACGTGAGGGAGTAGGGACGACTATATTTATGGGAGCAAACTCTAGAAAAATATGAAACACATGGATACAAGTTATGCCGTAAAATGAAAGACAATTCCGAGTCAGTTTTATCTACGAACAATGAAGCTATAAGTAATGCAACTATGAATCAAATGGAGAGTTCGATCCTGACTCAGGTAAACGATGGCAGCATGCTTAACACATGCAAATCGGACAGGAAGTGGTGTTTTCAGTGGTAGACTGGGGAGTAACGTGAAAGAACCTGCCATTAGAAAGGGAACAGCAGCTGGAAACGGCTACTAATATCCTGTAGGCTGAGGAGCAAAATGAGGAATCTGTTTGAGTAGGGGCTCTGTAAGGACTAGAAAGTGGAAAGACTAGAAAGAAAAAAAAATAATATATATATATATATATAATAATTAAATAAATTTCCATCAGGTAGGAAACGACGTCGTTTTGGAGAGGGGAAAAACGACGTCATTTTGAAAGAAAGAAAAACGACGTCGTTTTGGGATGTAGGAAAACGACGTCGTTTTGGGGTAGGCTGGCAGAGTATAAAGGGAGGTCGGGAAAGGGAGAAGAAAGAGGGAGAAAAGAAAAAAAGGAAAGAAAAGGAAAAAGAGAAAAAGAGAAAAGGAGGGAAAGAGGGCAGCGGAGACGAAGAAGAAGAGGAAAGTTCCAGAAGGAGAGAGGAGAGAGTCGGGGCGGAGGGGAGCGAGAAGAGAGAGGAAAGGAGGCCGTGGACGGACGACGCGACCGGCAGGAAGAAGGAAGATGGAAACGGGAGGTACAGTGAAAATTTGAGCTGTTTGGTGTGGTGTGTGTGTGTAGAGAATTTTGTTGCAGGTTGCGGCGTCGGCAATGGCGCGACGGAGTGGAGCAGTGAAGGTAGGCCGTAAGCGTGGGGTTGTCCCGCGCACTCACAGAGGTGATCGGGGGAGGAATTGAAGGTGTGGCGGTGTTGGAGGCGTGTGGGGAAGGATGGGGGTGGTGCGGGTAGAACAGAGTGAGGAGGATGTGAGAGGACAATCTAGGGGGCGCGGGTGGGATAAAAACTCGAGAGGACAGAAGAGGTGTGTGCGTGGTGTGTGCGTGGGTGGGGATGTGGAGGGAGCCGCTAATAGGCGGCGATGTGTTTCCCCGAAATGCACGGTGGTGAGGGCGTGTGTGTGGCGTGAAACGGTGCAAGCTGAGAGGTTAATCGCCCTAGGTAGGCAAGAGTGTATAGGAAACGGGAGGAGGCAGGAGGATGGGGGAGGTAGCGGGTAGGGGGCAGTAGGAGAGGGAAGGGGGAGGGAAGGTAC